GTGCTCTGTCATATTCATCCGTCAAAAAATGGATAGCAAAATTTAAGCGTGGTAGAGAGAGTGTGAAAGAAGAACCCCGCTCTGGAAGGCCTTCGACGTCAACTACTGACGAAAATATTAAAAAAGTACTTGATTTAATAATGGGAGACCGCAGATTAAAAATTAGAGAGATAGCCGAGATTATAGGCATCTCTTATGAACGAACTCAAAACATCATTGTCAACGAGTTGGGTTTCCACAAGGTGTCTGCGAGGTGGGTTCCGCGACTGCTTTCAGTTGAACAAAAAAAGGACGCGATTGACTATTTCACGCGACTGTTTGGAGTTATTTGAAGCCGATGCAGATGATTTTTTGAATCGTTTTGTTACTATGGACGAAACATGGGTTCATTACTGTACACCGGAAACAAAACAACAATCAAAACAGTGGAGAAGACCTGGTTCACCACCCCCTAAAAAGGCTAAGTCGATTTTGTCGGCAAATAAGGTGATGGCTTCAGTATTCTGGGACTCGAAAGGTGTGATTATGATTGATTATCTTGAAAGGGATCAGACTATAAACTCTGATTACTACTGCACCTTACTGCGTCGTTTACGAAAGGAAATAAAAGAAAAACGTCGAGGAATGCTCAGAAGAAAAGTCCTGTTTCATCAAGATAACGCCTGTGTTCACACGTCAGTACAGTCAAGGGCTGAAATTCACAACTGTGGCTTTGAACTGTTACCGCATCCGCCGTATTCACCAGATCTGGCACCATCAGACTTATTTCTGTTCCCTAATCTAAAAAAGCACTTGGGAGGTCAAAGATTTTCGACAAACGACGAGGTCAAAGCAGCTGTAGACGCATATTTTGACTCTAAGGAAGAATCATTTTTTTTCAACGGTCTAAATGCTTGGAAGGGGAGGTGGCAAAAGTGTATTGAACTTGATGGTGATTATGTAGAAAAATAAAAATATAACTGATTTAGTATGTGTTTATTTTCTTGGTTAGGCCGAGTACTTTTCAATCCACCCTCGTATATGGCCGGTCAATTGCCACTTCAGCTTACTAATCCATTGGGCGATGTCCGTCACTCTGGTTCTGCTGCAGATATCCTCATTCCTAAGTTTAAACCCCTGAGCATAGCCCCCTTCATAGCTCGCTGAGCGACTTCGAGCTTCCTCATACGTCATCGAGGTCATCACTGGCAACACGCACTGGTTGTATAATCTAGTTTTGAGGTATTCCTGACGAGAAGATGTGTTGTAATCTCCCGAACGCTGCCCAGCCGAGTTGAATCCGTCGATTGACCTGTCGGTCGAAGTTGAACTTACCTAGTCGGACTATTTGTCCCAAGTAAAAATACTTGTCAACTACTTCAGCTAAATGCTCCCAAAAACCACCGGCATATCTGTGACACGGACATTACACATGACTTTTGTTTTGTCCATGTTCATCTTAAGATCTATCCGTTGGGAGACACGATTGAAGTCATTGAACATAGTGCGTAGGTCGTCCAGCGATTCTACATTAAGAACTATATTGTCGGCAAAACGAAGGTGAGTGACGTACACGCCATTGACGTTAATATCGTATCCTTTTCAGTCCAGTATCTTGAAAACGTCTTCCAATGCAGCGGTAAAGTATTTCGGGGATATTACTACACCCTGTCTTACAAATCTCTACAGTTGGACTAGTTTTGTACTCTGGTTCTGTACTCGGATAGCCATTGTAGCCCTTAGACCATTCAACTAAAAATTATTAAGATTAAACTAACTACACAATATAAAAATAAAAACATAATTTCAAAAAATAATTTATTGTCAACCGTTCATTTAGTTCTGGTATTATAAAAAACAAATCAGCTGCTATAATAACGCCTATTATAATCAACTAGAGGTCTGTCTATAGACAGTAAAATATTATCTACTATATAAAAATTTATGTTTGTTCGTACTTTCTACGATGCCATACAGTTCATCAGATTGCGGTCAAACTTAGTCACCTTATTGTTTGCACTTGTGCGAAGATTATACGCATGGTACAATTAACTGACACTTGGTGGCGTGCGTATTATACCGACTATTTATTTAAAAGTTATAGAAAGTTATATATCATTCTAATTCAATGATTTTATTTTCATTCCTAATTATACAATATAACTGTTCCACATTTTAACGATATTTCCACAATTATTTCTTCTGCGGCAGCTATGGCAGCTAGATAATATAAAAAATACAAAGTTTGAATTACATAGTTATCAGTTATTAACCGTGGTAGCCCAGTGGTTAACGCTCGCTGTAAATATAACAGAACGCGAGTAACCTGGGTTCGATCCCCGCCGGCACCAATGAAATTGTTAATTGCAATTTTAAGTGCTGATTTACCACGTGCTCGGCGGTGAAGGAAAACATCGTGAGGAAACCTGCATGTCTGAGGAATAAGAAAAAAAATATTTTGAAGACATGTGAAGTTCGTCAACACGCATTTGGGCAGCGGGGCGGACACGTCCTTGCCCTAAACCCTCTCAGAAATGAGGGGAGGCCTGAGCCCAGCAGTGGGACGTATATAGGCTGTAACTTTACTTTTTTTTTACTTTACAGTTATTAACAACGTCATTTTCGAAATTAAAATTACAATATAAAAAAAATAACTGAAATTATCATAAAGTCCTACTTTCTGTGGGATCGTCCCAAGAATGCTGGCTACGTGTCCTCACTCCTCACTGAATGGCTATACTTAGCCTTCAAGCGAGGAAACAACAAACTAAACAACTTCTTATAACCAGCAGCGATGATCAGTCGCAGATACAGTTTTTTAGGAACTACACCGCACGTGCACCCTACGGACCAATAGTCTCTACAGCAAATTGCACAAATATTTACTTATCTTCCAGATAATCAGGGCAATTTACTTGGTTCAGTTACCTCTAATGCCACCCCTGCTTTAGACGAGGTACCCCTGAGATGGGATGCTGTCAAAGTGTTCGCAAGTAGTATCCCACACTAAAGCTTTATTTCTCTCTCTCTCTCTCTCTCTCTCTCTCAAGCAACCAAACCCATACTGTTGGGTCTCCTGGTATCGTCTTTAAATATTCTACAAAGATCTTAAACCGAGGAAACATTTATAGAGATACGAGCTGCACTACGGACTCCCCGAGCCCGATATGTGAATGGAGTCAGGGAAAAACGAGCACTTGGGAGCATCAAGTCATCATCATCATCGAAAGATAGTCAAGTGGCGCATCGCCAATCGCCATACCAACGCCTCTTCCCTTACGACTCCACCTCGACTACAGCGGTCCAGGGAGAGGAATCTCCTCTAGCCGTAGCCGACTAACACACATCTAACGTGGCTCGACATGATCAGGCGATTTTTCGACACTTGGCTATGGCCCTTGAGTTTGGTGGAAAATGAGGAAAGAAGAAATAAAAAAACATTCGAAATAATAATCTATTTGTTCCAAACATGATCATTTTGTTTCGGACGCCAATTCACAATATTTATGCTTTTAAGCCATAATTTTAGTCTAGGTTCAGTTGGAAACCTGTTAATTAATAAACATTTGATAATCATCCGTTGTTGGCGACTTTTTTTGTTAACACACATAGGTAGGAAAGAACATCGATAAGTATTATAGACAAGGAACTCGACAACCCTATTTAATTTTATTGTTTATCAAAACTCAGTAATATACACCCAAACATGTTGGTATATATGATATTAAGATTAGTAACAAATTTTAAGTACTTATATTATCAAATAGTTTTAATTTGTTTAGTATTTGCTGCAAATTCACTTACTTGTGAAATGTTATACCACTTTCCTATAGGTAACGAGTTTTACAGATTACGCACACTCTCATTATCAATAAAAATAATTCCTATTATGTAACTAATATTGTACACAATCAAACAACAATATACTTTCGTTTTTTAATTTAAAAGTTCGAAATACAGACTTATGAAATAAGACAATATAAATAAGACAACAGACTTTGGCATATTACGTCAATTTTATTTTTCAAGACATCCTTTAGCGGCGCTTCAAATTGGCACAGTCATTTTGTATGGTATAGCCAGTCCAGCGTACTTGTATATATAGAGGTCAGTGGGTGTAGAGATAAGAACGACTCTGTATAAAAAAATTGTCCGTAGAAAAGCGCTAAATAAGGGTGGCACTACTGTAGCTACAGTGTAAATTTAAAAAAAAAATATTTTTTTTATTGCACAGACTTTGACCATAATTCTTTTTACAATAATTATTTTTATTGTTTTCAAAATGTTTATGTTCAAAATCACTCTCAACTTATTTTAAGGCGATTTTTCATACCCTGTAGCTACTCGGGCGGAGTTGTGGAGAGATTTTGAATTATTATTTACTGTTTTGTCTTGTCCATCTGTACATTTTCAACTATTCTCCTATGGGAGATTGTCCTCTTTACCTCTATACTCCACGCATTGAACGTGGAGCTTATAAGTCATAGAAGTATTTAAGTTAAGCGCCCTCTGTTTTAAATATTATAAACTTGTGGCTAGTTAGTATACTTTCTTTTTGACATGTTTCTCCTATTCCTGTATAGATGTCACTACAACCAAGTTAAGTGGCATCTATTGAAAAATTACTGTCGCTTAATTTTGTTAAATTTGTATGTTTTTATTATTTTATGATTTAATTGTGTTATAAATAATATTGTTATTAAAGAAAAATATAAAATAAAAGTGAAAATATCTGTTTGTAAGTGTTTTTCCTAATATTCAAATATAAAGAATGTTCAGGGCGGGGCACTAATAAAATTTGCGGTTATAATAATTGGACTACGTTATGTAAGAACGAATTAAGCGACGAAATCGAAGAAAAAAGTTTTGAATGCAGATCGACTATATGTATGATAAACTATGTATTCAACTATTTTCGTGTTCAATACACACTCTTACGGCCTTATAATAAGGGGTTGAATCAAGCGACATTTCGAACTTTGTTAGAATTTGTGCACACATTCGTTTTGTATTAAAGAATTATGCGTCAAAGTTACGGTTACAAACAGTTTTCAAATTGCATAAACGAATTAATCTCGTACACTATAAAGGTAATTCATTTTTGCCTTTTGATTCAACTGTTTTTAAACGGCAGCATCGAATTAACCACCTAAAATGGTATTTAATTCGTTAATGCGTATCACCATACGCGCAATTTTTTATCCGTTCGAGAATTAAGCGCCAAATTCTGGCGTTTCATTGTTATTGCATTCTTATTTTCGCGGGATTTTGGGTGTAGGACGGCGGCGGTTGGTCTCATTGCGCATCTAACGTACCTAATTACGGAAGGATATTTTGTTTACTTATCCATAATTTTTGTCGTTTATAAGTGAATTTATTGAAAAACAGTGTTAAAATGGATAGATTTAATAAGAATACGCGTGGTTACCGTTTTATTGCTTCATTAAAAAGCAGTGATGCAATGCAAAGTAATTCAGTCAGGTATGTATCGTATACCTACTTACTACTCGTTTATTACGTACTTTCACTAAATTATGTTGTCCAGTAATTTCATTTACCTATTAATCTATACCTATCCTAAAAATAAATAGCTATTCACATATTTAACTAGATAGCTACATACTAATATTAATAAGTATAAAATGACAAAGTCGTAACGCGCTTTTTGACGTGACTAAATAAAATTCTTTATGAAATCCAACCCAAACATTAAGTTGTGAATTACACACATCACAGTGGATGCTTGAATTGTATTTTAGCCGAATACATAATTTAATCACAATAATAACATAATTTTATTGTTTTAAGGACACTGCTCAGATTTACGACATAACCCGGGCACAGAACAAATATACCCAGCTGCATGATGAGGTATTTATCTGTTAAAATATTTTTCTAGGTTTTCAAATCTTGCATGTTAGTGATTTGTGGGTTTGGTGTTAGTATGTGAGGTTTTGCCCAGCACGTGGAGAGTGTGATTTGTACCGATTTACAAACCGATGAGGTTCTTTGTTCGATGCGTATATGTGTAGAAACTTAGCTGATTTAGGTGATATTTTTGTATACGAAAAGGCTTGCCTTGCCTCTTGACTTTTTACTTGTTAAAATAAAATTATGTATTTGCTATTGAATAGTGTAATATGATAATTTATATATTTTTGTACAAAAATATACGTTTAACCAGCAGTAGATAGTTTGCTCAATATGATAATTTCTTGTCTTATATTTTAGATTACCGAAGTATCTGCCGCTAACCATTACAATGTTTTACATGAAGATGAGTTATTGGAAGCTAATAAACAAAGAGTATTACTGGATATATCTAACTCGTTAAATCTTGTTTATACAACAACAGAACAAAACGAAAATAATAATATAAGCGTCTGTACCGAAGTAGACGATGCTTACCAAAATTTAATTCAGATGGAAAATTATGACTTAGGATCAATGTATTTAGATTCCGTAGAATTCAATACTACAGCAATTTCAAACCATAAGTTACAACAAGAACAACAAGAAAAAAGTTACAACATTGAATGTTCTCAGCAAGAAAATGCAGATCTTAAAAACATCGATTTGTCTATATCAACAGTCAATCTGTATAACGATAGTCCTAGTATACTAGGCAATAATATGACTACGTCTGAAGTTAGTGTTTTAGCTGAAAAAAATACACTTATGACTATATCAGAAATATCAACCGGTAATCATGGTGAAGGCGATCTACGGAACCCGATGATACCTGAACCAATAACAAATGGAAATATCCTGATCAAAACCGTGAAATTCGTAAAAAGTTATGTGAAACTAACAATCAATACATAAATCAAAAAAGAGAAGTCGTCAATCAACGAAAGTTTATCAATGTTCGCTGTAATGATGGTTGTCATGAAAAAATATCGGTAAGAGAGCGTCAAGAAGAATTCTCAAAATTTTGGGAGCTATGTTTGAAGGAAAGTGCTTGTATACGAGTATATCTTCCAACGTAAAAGTGACATCAATAAAAAGGAAAAGAAACAATAATTCAAATAAAAGAAATAACATACGTATCTATTCTTTACAAAACATAGTTGTTTGTGCCAAAATGTTTATCGATACTTTAAGAATATCATCTGCAAGGATTGACAGATACTTGAAAAATGCTCAAGTACGGAAAAAATTGAAGACAAAAGGGGAAGATATCAGGAAAAACTCGTAACATGACTCAATATGTTGAACAAAGTATTATTGAACACATTGATAAATTTCCAAAATATAAGTCCCATTACTATAGAGCGCAGACAGACAGGATGTATTTACCACCGGATATGACTTTGTCGAAAATGTACGATTTATATTTATCGGATGCAAGCTCTGATGAATCAAGAAAGACAGTTTCATTTGCATCGTATAAAAGAATATTCTGTACCAAATTTAATATACAAAGGAAAAAGCCTCAGAAAGACACGTGTAATAAGTGCGACCTATTAGCAGTAAAAATAAGAGATACCACTTCACAAGAAACCAAATTAAATTTAGAGAAGGAAAGACAGCAGCACCATAAAGAAGCTGAAGACGCACGTGCAATGAAAAAACAAGAAATCGCTTTGGCTAAGACTTATGATCATATTGAAACTCTGACTTTTGATATGGAAAAGACGCTCCCAATGCCAAGAATTCCAACCAACGTAGTGTTTTACAAGCGCCAACTGTGGCTATACAACTGCGATGTGCATCCAGGAAAAACCGGTAAAGGGTTTTGTTACGTCTGGGTGGAAGGGAAAGCAGGCACGGGAGCACAAGAAGTAGGATCCACTTTACGCAAACATATATCTTTAAATCTAGATTCAAAAGTCAAAGAACTCATTCTGTGGTTAGACTCTTGTGGTAGTCAGGACCGAAATATTAAGTTGACTCTGCTACTATTTGTAGTATTATAAGGAAATGAGAACTTAGAGAAAATCACACTTCTATTTCTGGTTCCTGGGCATAGCTACTTAGAAAATTATAGCGAGTTTAGTGATATGGAATCAGCTTTAAAAACCCGTACACGGTTATACACTCCACAAGACTACATTGATGTGATGACCAGTTGTCGTAAGAGAAACAAGTTGACAGCTACTAAAATGGAATGTTTAGACTTTGTCGGGGTTTATAAAATGATGAAGACTATAGTTAAAAGAAAAAAAGATATAGAAGGAAATGCTATAAGCTGGTTGAAAACTAAAGAAATAAACATTTTTAAGAATAGACCTGATCGGATATTTCTTTCAACCTGTCGTGGTGGTCAAACCCATGAAGTAGATCTCAATAAAAGACCAAAAAGAGGGTCAATAAATAACCCATTGACGTTATCAAGACATTATGAGCAACTTTGGCCACAAGGAAAACCTATTTCTCAACCAAAGCTAGATGATATAAAATCCCTCCTTCATCTCATCCCATCTGATGCGACAAAATATTACGAAAATTTAACTGGAGCTCGTGATTTAAAAGATGATGTTGAAGGTTTCGATGGATCTATTGATTTCGAAGTAGAAGATAAAGAATAAAAAATAATATATACAGTGGTAGGTAATAAATAGAAGAAAAAGTATTAGTAAGATGTAGAAATGTTACAACATATTTGGTTTTAATTAAGTATATTTTATTAAAATAACTAGATTTAATCTTATTGTACAATTTATTTCACCCGAAACAAATCGCAATAAAGTATCAAACGACAATAATGCCGTATAGCACGTTATTGATAAATAAAATTGTCTGAATATGACTTAAACACATTAACAAATTAAGCGGAAAAATGACTATTACTACGAAACTACATTGTATAAGCCTTATATTTTTTACTAATGAAAAGTTGTACACATTTTGTATCTTCAAAATAAAAATTATACTCTAAACATATTAAATGTATGCACAGCGACAATTTTCACTTTGAAATTTTAGAAGCTCATTTTCTCAGTTTTCGTTAAGTGGCACTTAGTCGGTTCTTACATAACGCAGTCCAATTATAAAAACTTTGTGTATACAATAAATTAAAATAAAAAACTTTTCATTATAATTATGTCTATATTTAAGAAAGTTACAAATTTAAAAAAGCCTAATCTAGAGCAGGCGGTTCCAAATTATGTATACTACTGCTTAATCTTAGTTAAAAGGTTTTTGTTGGAATCTTGGTGGAAAGGTAAATAAAAAAAATATCCGTGCATCGGCCGGGAATCGAACCCGGGCCGCCCGCGTGGCAGGCGAGCATTCTACCACTGAACCACCGATGCTGCATATTAATCGTGATAAAAGTGGTATTTACTAAAATTATTAAAACTTAAAAATCAATTAGCTAAATGCTGCTAATTGCAATGATCACTAATGTAGAAAAATATAAATCTTTGTTTTATTCATTTACTGTGGTGCATAGAGTATCGCTTGCGACAAATCGTATTTATATTATTACTAGCTAAGATAAATATTTCGGTATCAACCATGTTTGCCTGCTCTCTTATACTTATTTATTATTTTTTGCATTCCTTGAGATATTCTTTACCAGCAACCCTTGGAGTGGTGAAAAATCTACGTTATACTTCTATTATAATTACTGAATAATTGATATGAACCCAATACTACAGTTAAAAAAAAATCATAAAATAAAGCAAACTCACTACTGTATATTATTATATTAAAGCGACCAATTTTTGGAAGATATAAGTACACTTACTAGGTTACTACTGGCTACGACCGGTAATGTGGCGTTCCCCATTAGCGATTTTTAGGATACCATTACCAAAGGAAATTTTTCCACCGTCAATCGCTTGTAATACAACTCAGCCATGATTCAGACATATTCCGTGTCTATAATTTACAATTATAAAACTGTTTGCATGCGGAATTATTTTATCAACTAGAAATGTATAAATTTATTTTTTTCTCGCTAAAGGATATTATCAACTATTGTCTAAAGAATATAAAAAAAATCTTTTATATTTTATTCTTCTTCTTTCTTCTTATAGCTACATATTTAATGAGTCAAAAGTATCCGAATTCGGAATTTTTCAAACATTTACAAATTCATAACTCTATCGTAACTATTAACTTTAACGTAAAACCTTTTTTATTTGTATTTTTTAATGGATGAAAAGTCCGATTATGGGATTTTTTTATTTCATCAAAAATATAAAAAAAAATATTTTTTCTTTTTCTTTATATTTTTTAATGGATAAAAGTATCCGAATTTGAGATTTTTCAAATTTATAAATTCATAACTATGAAAATTCTAAATTTGCCGTAAAAGTCATACTTAAGATCTTTTTAGTAGTGTTTTATCAAAAAATATAAAAAAGTTGTCCCGTTTGAAAATAACAAATACCTTGCAATGGAAAAAAAGTCGAAATAAATAAATAATATGGCACCGAGTTGCACCATGGCAACATGCATTTATGTCATCAGTAGGACGATAATTTGAAGAGAATTTATTGAAGAGAGCATTAAAAAAAAACTGAGGTGGAATAGTTTTCGGTAGTCATGCGCCAATTCCTCTTGAGTCTTCACCTCTTGAGTTCTGTGCTAGTATACACTGCCCGGTTAGCGGTGCGCTTGACTTGAAATATATCGGTTTCCTTTGAGTATTAAAATCGGTTCCTTATGGTTCCTTCCCTACTAAATATCTCTACTCTGATTGTTAATTACTAACAGTTCGTCAACTGTTTGTAGTATTCTTAGGCAACATAAATCGTAGGACTGCACTTCAGAAGTGAAAACTTCTCAGCTTCACAAACTTGTAAATAATGTTTTGTATATATTAAGTATGTATCGGAGCGTCACAGTCACTTGAATTCGATCCTTTTTTCCCGTCCCATAAGTGCCCAACGTGCCTAAAGTAAATGAAAACTAATTTAATCATTTTATGTCAAGTTTATAATTTAATAGCGCTATCTATTATTGTTTTCAATGGTTCCTTGGCACAAATCTGTACAATAAATTACACAAAGAACTAGAAAATTTTACACTTAATTATTAGTTGTGTAAAAAAGATACACGCCTGGTTATTGTAGTACGGTCGGACTGAACATTTTGTTGACGTCAATAAAATAACGAAATTAATTACTGTAATTCTGTTTTAGTTGCTTGATATTATAATATCCCGTTACACATTCACATCCACATCTTCAAAAACAAGAAATAAGTAACTGCAACTGACCAATCACATAGTCGTCCATACATAACCTCACGTTTAACAAGTAAACACCAACATAATGGCTGCGTTTGGCAGAAAAAAGCGCTAGCAAGCGCTTACAAGCGCTGAAATAGTTTTCGGCCAGGACACGATTGCTACTTCAGTAGCGCTGACACAATCCGCCATTTTGCTTATTTAATTTGTTTGTTTTGAATTAGAGTTTATAAGTTGTTTTGTGCAATATTAGTTTTAAGTAATATAATGACGTGAATAAACATATACATGTTATTAAAAATTCATGATTGGTAAGTTTTTAATATGAATACTTTACAAACATATATTTAAATTAGGTTAGGTTCCCCGGTTAAAACTAACATCGTGTCCTGGAGGAAAATAGCTACTTACGATTTGACAGCGGTTACCGCTTACGATCGCCATTTTGTTTATAAGCGCTTGCTAGCGCTTTTTTCTGCCAAACGCACCCATTTTGTCCATTATCCATTTCCTATTTCCTTTTATTTTAAATTAATATTATTAAAACGTGCGTTCAACATGCACACCGGATGGTTCGCTCCACCGAAGGCACTAACGCTGAGGCCATACCTTTAGTGTTTGTACCGTGTTATAATTCCCCAAACAGATTTCACAAATTCCTGCACGGTCGTTCTAAATAAAGAAATAAATAATGATATTATATTGTCCGTTTAATACGCCCCCAATGTTTAACTATTCTATCGACATTATAATGAATTATTTGTTTTGAGGAACTGATGGACGAGGGATTGCCGTTCAGTTATCAACATGACGAAGCATAACGGACCCGCGATCATGATCAATGAACGTGGGATAAGAAATTCCCGTCTTTTTGAAACAAACTTACATCACACCTGATGATAAGTGATTACTGTATTTCATGAACACCGTGATAGAGCCATCCTGCAGTTATGTTAGCAGTATAGTTGTAGCACGAATGGGTCGGCTCGACCGGGGAAGGACCACGCTCTCACAGAATACCAGCGTAAAATAGTAGCTTAATGCTGCTGTGTTTTTTTATGTAACTGTAGAGAACCAGAGACCCTTTTTACTGGAAACGAGGCATTCCATCTTAGTCCTCACGGGTGACAACCCATCAGCATTTTGATTCGTAATGGAGGATAGATGTAGATGTCTATTGGCCACAGCAACCACTTACCATCAGGTGGACTGTGTGCTCGTTTGTCACCCTATCCTATAGAAAAAAATTCAAGAAACAAATTCAAATGGGGAGTGCTCTGAGGAATTGTTCGGATTAATCCCAGCCGCCAAATTTCGTGAACGCACTACGCGGCAAACGTCCCGATACCATCCACACCATCTGGATGCTTGGCGGTCCACTACTGTACGTTTCACAAGGAGTTTTCTTCCGCGTACGACCTCTCTGTGGAATAGTTTACCACCGGCGGTTTTTCCGGACCGATACGACCTGGGGACCTTCAAGAAAAGAGCTTACTCCTTTCTAAAGGGCCGGCAACGCACCTGCAATTCCCCTGGTGTTGCGGTTGATCATGGGCGGCGTTAGTCACTTAACATCAGGTGAGCCGCATGCTCGTTTGCCCCCTCTTCTATAAAAAAAACACAGGTGTGCACTGCTTGGCAACCAGAATAGTTAGGAGGGTGGTACTCAGACGGATTCTTAGGCAGGAAAGAAGACCTACCACATATTAAATGATTTATAATGAGTGGCGATGTAAGAATATTCACTTCCCCATATCATCCCGTGGGTGTCATAAGAGGCGATAGAGGGAAACAAATCAGGAGATGAGTAGCAGCATCTTTCTAATAACGACTATAAATAAAATTGCGGTTGCCAACTCGCTTACCAAGCGTGGCAACTATGGAAAATATCTCTCCCATTGAGGCATTCTATGGGGAAGGCCTATGTTCAGCAGTGGACTTATACAACATGTAACAAAAACCCTATAGTAGTTCCCCTTAACTGCGTTATCAGAATCAGTATCAAAGCGTATAGAAATAATTTATTTTTCAAAAAAAAAAAAAAGTTTTATAAAATTATTTTAATGAAAAAAAAAGGAATTTGCAAATGATGGGGTTTTATTAACTCTGCATTGGCCGAGGAGTAAGAGGATTGTCAAAGACCCCACATTACCGACACTCGTGTGAGTTAGAGGAAATAAAACCAAATACAATTTACAAATTATTTTTTTTCCGTTAAAGTAAAAAAAAATGTGTTTTCTTGAAAAAAAAAATTATTTCTATACGCTTGGATAATGATTCTGATAATGCACTTAACGGGAACCACAGGGTTTTTGTTACATGTTGTATAGACTGTAACGATAATGTACGTGAGAAAATAATCCGGTCAAATTATAGCAGAAACTAAGA